CATCAGTAAATTGCGATCCATAGGGTACATGCAAAACTCTTGTCTCTTCCAAGGCGACACGATCCCGGACGAAGTGGAGGTCGACTTCGACACGTGCGCTGGTGTTGAACCGGATTGGAGGATGAAAGGATCGATATAGTTGACTAGAGGGGGGGGGGTGAATAGGCAACTAACAATTTTTATCTTTTCTTTACCAAATTAAACTTTGCAACAAAGTAGGTTGTCTAGATATGCAACTAGGTGAGCAACCTATATGATGCAACAATCAACAAGTGCACAAGCGAGCAAGGGATACAACACAAATAAGCTTGCACAAGTAAAGGCACGAGATAACCAAGAGTGGAGCCGATGGAGATGAGGATGTGTTACCGAAGTTCCTTCCTTTTGAGGGACGTCTCCGTTAGAGCGGTGTGGAGGCACAATGCTCCCCAAGAAGCCACTAGGGCCACCGTATTCTCCTCACGCCCCACACAATGCGAGATGTCGTGATTCCACTATTGGTGCCCTTGAAGACGGCGATCGAACATTTACAAACAAGGTTGGGGCTATCTCCACAACTTAATTGAAGGCTCCCAATGACACCACGAAGCTTCACCACAATGGACTATGGCTCCGCGGTGACCTCAACCGTCTAGGGTGCTCAAACACCCAAGAATAACAAGATCCGCTAGGTATTAGTGGGGGAATCAAATTTCTCTTGGTGGAAGTGTAGATCGGGGCCTTCTCAACCAATCCCGAGCAAATCAACAAGTTTGATTGTCTAGGTAGAGAGATCGGGCGAAAATGGAGCTTGGAGCAACAATGGAGCTTTTGGGGGAAGAGGTAAGTCAACTTTGGGGAAGAAGACCCCCTTATATAGTGGGGGGAACAATCCAACCGTTACCCCCCAAAGCAGCCCCACAGAGAGCGGTACTACCACTTGGATGGGCGGTACTACCGCTGTGGCCAGCGGTACTACCGTCCCACCTTGCGGTACTGCCGCGCAGAAGAGGGGAGCGAAGGATCTGGACCCAGAGCGGTACTACCGTGGAGGTAGGGGCGGTACTACCGCTTAAGAGCGGTACTACCACCTCTACTACCGCAACTAGTGCCGCAAAACCCGACACAAGAAAAGAACCCTCGAGTTGAGGCGGTAGGAGCACGAAGCCGCAGCGGTACTACGGCGGAAGGCTTCAAGCGGTACTACCGCTGTGGAGCGGTACTGCCGCTTGTAACCCTCGGGCGGTACTACCGCTGCGGCCCGCAGTACTACCGCTGGGACCAAACGATGCTCAAAAGAAGGGGAATGAGCTCTCCATTGAAGCGGAAAGGCTCAGAGGGTGTGACAAGGATGTGTACGTGCTGATTCCACCCTAGCCTTACCAAAGCGGACCCCCTCTTGATAGAACGGTGACTCCTATGAAACTAGTCCACCAACATAGAACCGAAAGAGCTGCACCGTCTTGAATAACACTCCGAGGGAAGGGAATCGTCTCGTGCCAAAGAATGAATCTCTGAAAAACTCAATGCACACGATTAGTCTGCAAAAGCATTGTCATCAATCACCAAAACACCTTAGGGATAAATATGCCCTTACAATCTCCCCCTTTTTGGTGGATTGATAACAATACGGGATTTGCACAAATGGGAAAAGACATAGGACATAAGCAAACCCCACAACTCTAAAGTATAGACGAGCTCCCCCTAGATGTGTGCTTTCTAGATAAGTGCTTTGGACTGCACATCACACATACTAGGATCAATACTCCCCCTATATTTTAGAGACCAACAACCTAAGCAGGATATATGAGAGCAGGGTAAATAACAGGATAGGCACAACTCATAAGATACCAAAGTACTAGATAGACATAGATAATGATAATATAAAGATAAGGTAGCATATGTCTCACACCATATGTCGGGAACTTATGCCTCATTGGCACAAAACCAAACAAAGCAAATGGCGAGAAAACACAATGACACCACAAAGAAACACTCGCAACTCAACAAACGACACAAATCCCTAAACTCTCTCCCCCTTTGGCATCGAGACACCAAAAAGGCAAAGAGTGTTGCTACAGCTCCAGGTGATAGCACGCTGAGGATCTCGAACATCATATCCCAGCGGGATCGTCTGCACCGCCGTCATCGGTCGGAAACTGCTCGGCGTCTGAATCTGTCCACAGGCAGTGCTGGTGAATCCACTCCTCCTCCTCAGTTATCTGGCCCTTAGATCCACTGTTAACGGTCGCACCCAACTGATGCATGAGCTCCTTGTGATGTCCCCTGGCCTTCTTCTTAGCCACATGAGTCATGTACTGACCATGAGACTCCATGCAGAAAAGCTTCTTCATCTTGAGCTTGAGCTTCTTTGCCCAAGAGGGCTCTGCTCTAGAAGGCTCATAGTCAGCGGCATCATCAGCATCAGCTTCGTCCTCGGTCTTCATGGTAGCAGCAGAAGATGTACCCCAGCTTTAGGGGCTGGGGTGCCCCAATTGTCCTTCTTCCTCAGACAATTGATCTCATGAGAAATCAAATCTCCAGTTTCCAGCAGGACCCTGGGATAGACATGTGCCCAGGCCTTCTCAATGAGTAACATGATGAACGGTCCATAGATCGGGCACTTGCGCTCAGAGATAGCAGATAGAAGTTCAGACCACATAACATGAGAGATGTCCAAGGACTCGCCAGTGTTTGCTTCCTTCTTGTGCTGGCAGAAGAGAAGCATGTCCACAAGATAGGACTGGACCACATCCAGATTCCCGATGCGAGGGAAGAGAGTCTCTCGGAAGACACGGTGAAGGATGTCCAGGAAGGCAGGCAGCTCATAGGTTTGCTTCTTAGTCTCAGGGTGAATCTTCACAGAATAGTAGGGCCAGAGGGCTTGCTTGTGAGTGGAGGTTGCATTGCGGTGAGGGCAGAAACCGACTGGAGTCTCAAGCCCATGATCTTCCACCCCAAGTAACTCCATGAAGGCCTTCCACTTGACAGAGAGCAACTTGCCATTTTTCATCCAAGTCAGAGTCCTTTCCTCATCAGTTCCTAGATGGACAGTGGCATAGAATTGAGCCACCAAATCTGCATCAAAGTCCTTGTTGAACTGCATGATTCTGAGAATGTTCAGCGGAGAGCCCATCTGAAGGGCTTCACCAAAGTACTCAGGGTCCTTCTCCATAAAGTCCATGTCGATGGAGCGCACATCAACATAGAGATTCTTCTTGGACTTGATCACATCAAAGAAGATGGAAAACTGAAAGCGGTTCCAGAACGGATGGTTGACCAAAGTGGGTTCTTGGTCTTCCACATAGGGGTTGCGGCGACACCTTGCCCAGAACTCCTTGGCATTCATTTCAGTCACAGTTTTGCCCCTCGGCTTCGTCTTGACAGCAAACTTCTTCTTGAGCTGAGGCGGAGGTGGAGCACTCGAGGAAGCACCCGCTGGCGGTGGTGGATCACTAGATGAACCACCTGTTGACTCAGAAGTGCGGTAGCGCTTTGACATAGCACGACCGGGGTTGACACGGTGGGCTTGCTGCTCAGGATGTTCATCACCTGGAACCAAACACACGAACACACGAAACAACCAGAAAGAACGAGCATAAGCCAACAAACACAACGAACGAGACCAGGAAATGGTAGGATCATGATGGAACTGGGCAAGCAGCGGTAGTACCACGACCCAGAAGCGGCAGTACCGCCCGAGCGGTAGTACCGCGCCAATGGGAGCGATAGTACCGCTCGAGATGGGGAAACGGCGGTTCCCTACTGCCGTGGTCAAATCCGACACTACCGGCCTGCCAAATTCAAAAATACTCCTACCAAACAAGAATCCAAATAGTCTAGTTGCCTTCTCCAACCTACTCAAGCCTAGATTTAGCCAAAAATAGAGAGATGCAACCACTATTGACCCTAAGACACTAGATCTGAAATCTAGACAAAAGGAGAGGAGGAACGGGGGCAATACCGGCATCCAGGGCAAGAGGACGAGGTGGGGATCGACTCCACCGAAGGAAATGGAGAGGGACGGACCAGAGACGATGGCCCGCCTAAGCCCTCCCGCGGTGAGGCACGATGTTGGAGAGACGAAGAGGAATGAGGGGGCGGAGCGAATGGGTATGGGGGAGATGAAACCTCCCCCTGCCCCGACATAACCCCCTGGTCCCGCCCCTTAGCGGTAGTACCGCGCTGGTGGGCGGTAGTACCGCTTGTCAACTTAAGCGGTAGTACCGCGCGCCACCAGTGGTAGTACCGCCCAACAAGGCTCAACAACTAGACAGCAAACGGCTTTGCTCAAAAAGAAGAGAAAGCCAATGACAAGAAGAGGAAATAAAACTCGGCAACGAGAACACTAGCAAGGGGACAATAAACACACCTCTTCAAGAGAGGGCGGTGGCCGAGGCCACCTATGTTTGAGTCAAGAGGTATGGCGCCGCGAAGATTTTAACCTTGGGCCCATGAGCAAAACTCGTCCTTGAAGCACAAGTACCATAAAAAATGGTTAATGT